AAATCTGCTTTTGTCTCTTTTTCCACCTTACTTCTCAAGGCATTGTCATATTGCTCAACAAATTGTTTTAAGGTAGTCTTCGAGTTCACATATCCATCAAAAAATGCATTCATGCTCTCACTTCTACCGGTAGTTGACATGCCAGCCCAAAATATGTCTTTAACATAGGCAGGAATCCACCTATGTCGCTCACGGTATAATACCCCTAACCACTCGTTATCATTCAAATTGAATTTTGTAACCATTGTAAGCCAATTTCCCTCAAATTCATCTTTCGTCAATGAATCATAAACAACATTTTGCAAAGCAACCTTTATGCCTTTATATTGTGAATATCCTCTTAGTTTCTCCGAAATTTTCTTCATCGCATGCCATAAGCACCAACGATGTCGAGCCTGTGGGAAAACTATTTCTATGGCATTTTGCATAGCTCTACATTGGTCAGTTATTATTGCTTTTGGAGGAGCATCGGACATGCAGCTTAACCATTCTTTAAATAGCCACACAAATGTCTCAGTGTTCTCATTAGATAACAACCCACATCCAAACAAAATTGACTGTCCATGGTAATTAACTCCTACAAATGGAGCAAATGGCATATCATATTTGTTTGTCAAATAGGTTGTGCCAAATGAGACAACATCCCCAAATGCTTTATAAGCCGTCCTACTCCTTGCATCTGCCCAAAACAAGTTTCGCATGCGACCATCTTCATCAAGGTCAATTGCCGAATAGAAGTTCGAATTTTGTTGTTGCATTTTAAGACAATGTTATTAATAATTTGAAGCATTAACATAAAACCCAACAAGAAGCAAAGTGCAATATTTTAAGTCCATTCAACACATACCGGAACATACATACTATCTTGTGTGCCAACCATAGAAGGAAAATAGTAAGCTTCATCGTGCGGCACCTTATGATTATATAGTAAGACAATGTTATTAATAATTTGAAGCATTAACATAAAACCCAACAAGAAGCAAAGTGCAATATTTTAAGTCCATTCAACACATACCGGAACATACATACTATCTTGTGTGCCAACCATAGAAGGAAAATAGTAAGCTTCATCGTGCGGCACCTTATGATTATATAGTAAGACAATGTTATTAATAATTTGAAGCATTAACATAAAACCCAACAAGAAGCAAAGTGCAATATTTTAAGTCCATTCAACACATACCGGAACATACATACTATCTTGTGTGCCAACCATAGAAGGAAAATAGTAAGCTTCATCGTGCGGCACCTTATGATTATATAGTAAGACAATGTTATTAATAATTTGAAGCATTAACATAAAACCCAACAAGAAGCAAAGTGCAATATTTTAAGTCCATTCAACACATACCGGAACATACATACTATCTTGTGTACTAACCATAGAAGGAAAATAGTAAGCTTCATCGTGCGGCACCTTATGATTATATAGTAAGACAATGTTATTAATAATTTGAAGCATTAACATAAAACCCAACAAGAAGCAAAGTGCAATATTTTAAGTCCATTCAACACATACCGGAACATACATACTATCTTGTGTACTAACCATAGAAGGAAAATAGTAAGCTTGATCTTCCGGCACCTATCATGAAATAATAACACAATTTAATTACTAATTGTAACCATTCAACTATGAATCCACAAAAAGGTTCCGAAACAACCTATGCCCCGAATTTTTACCTGTGCGGGAGTAGTCTTCTTGTTCTTCCTCTTCAACCGATTAACTATTTGATCAACCTTGCTAACCTTCCGCCTCGTACATGGACGCCCTCTTCGGCGAGCAACCAAAGGACTGAGTACCTTGCGAGTGTTGCTTGCTTTTGTAGTATTCAGATGTGGCGGACTTTTCGGCGAAGTACTAGTAGAAGGTGGTACAGTACTAGTACATGGCACATTACTCGCAGTACCCGATTCAATAGTTTTCACTCAATCCTTGATTTCCCTCAACCCAAGTTGAATCACTTTGTGTTTACCATCGTCGTTGGTGGCAAGTTCTAGGATCTCATCTAACGTCTTGTGATATGAATCATGCAACTTTGGATTTATAGCAGCCCCGAAGTTAGTATATGTGGTTGGAATGCATGTATACCCTTGTTCCAAATCTTTTCTCCATCTCGAGACAATGTATTTATGTGGCACCTCATATATGAACCTCTCAATGAGCACGCTAAATGAATGGGCACACATAATACCTCTAAACTCAAACAACCGACACATACATTGGAGCTCACATTCAATTGAATTGCAGTACACGATAAATTCTACTTTCTTCATACCCTCACCCAAAAGAATAGCCTCCCTCACATGATACGTACAAATTGATCCCTCATCTTTTGCAAGATTCGGACGACAGTACACTAAACGCTTTATTTCTGCTTGAACTTCTTTAAATTTTGCATTTGTGTACGTTGCACGAAATTACTTCTCAAAATGATACACTGTTAGGCAATCATATAATTGGCTACGAGATTTGAAATCTGCTTTTGTCTCTTTTTCCACCTTACTTCTCAAGGCATTGTCATATTGCTCAACAAATTGCTTTAAGGTAGTCTTCGAGTTCACATATCCATCAAAAAATGCATTCATACTCTCACTTCTACCGGTAGTTGACATGCCAGCCCAAAATATGTCTTTAACATAGGCAGGAATCCACCTATGTCGCTCATGGTATAATATCCCTAACCACTCGTTATCATTCAAATTGAATTTTGTAACCATTGTAAGCCAATTTCCCTCAAATTCATCTTTCGTCAATGAATCATAAACAACATTTTGCAAAGCAACCTTTATGCCTTTATATTGTGAATATCCTCTTAGTTTCTCCGAAATTTTCTTCATCACATGCCATAAGCACCAACGATGTCGAGCCTGTGGGAAAACTATTTCTATGGCATTTTGCATAGCTCTACACTGGTAAGTTATTATTGCTTTTGAAGGAGCATCGGACATGCAGCTTAACCATTCTTTAAATAGCCACACAAATGTCTCAGTGTTCTCATTAGATAACAACCCACATCCAAACAAGATTGACTGTCCATGGTGATTAACTCCTACAAACGGAGCAAATGGCATATCATACTTGTTTGTCAAATAGGTTGTGTCAAATGAGACAACATCCCCAAATGCTTTATAAGCCGTCCTACTCCTTGCATCTGCCCAAAACAAGTTTTGCATGCGACCATCTTCATCAAGGTCAATTGCCGAATAAAAGTTCGAATTTTGTTGTTGCATTTTATGGAAATAAAGTGTAATTGATTCGGCGTCTCCTAGCCCAAGTCTTAATCTTCTAGCATTCTCAATATAATTCCTTGCATCTCGTTCATCAAACGTTAATGCTTCCTATCTCCCTGCTTCAACAACTATAGAATGAAAATTCCTCGCCACCCCAATCCCTGCTGCATCATTCACTTCTAGTCTTCTCTTGACCGGAGTACGAATCCTCTTATTCATTGCAAAATGTCGTGAGTCTGTAGGAATTAAATCACGAGTGTGCTCAAGCACAACTGTGGTTAACTTATGTCTGCCATCGTTTTGTAGACTAGCTCTGACCCCTTGCTTTACAATCAATTTTGGATGACAAAGATGGTTCCAAGGGATTGATTTCTGATCTTTTTGTTCTGAACCTCGCCCGAGTACATTCAATTCCAAAGTACTTTACTTCCCCATCACTTGTTAGATTTTGTGATCTAAAAGCTATAGCAAATCCACAGTGTTTCGCATATTGTGCATAAAATGTGTACACTTCTTGTTTTGAGTTAAAATACATCCCCTTCTTGGGTTCTTCAACTTCGCCAATTTCGTTAATATCAAGATTGTTATCCTGTTCTTCAACTTCCTCACTTCCATTCAATGAATTATTGTTTGAATCAATATCCATTGTAGCTTCAAAGTTAAATACAATAGACATTGTTAGCTACAATTTCAAAGCAAGTAGAATGAATTTTAATTTTAATTTGCATTTGAAACAAAGGGTCACTGGATTACCAACCACATCCCAATCTGCTAATTTTTTTACATTCATCTTACCTAAAATCTTATAACACTATTAATATCAACTCAGTGAGGAAATATGATTACTAATACTAATATCAGCTCAAAGTGCAAATTTTGATGTCAAAAAAATATGATTACTAATACATATGATGAAATTTGATGTCAAAAGACCAAAAAAAATTTGATGTCAAAAAAAATATATATTACTAATATACAGGAGAATGTCATGGTGCACCCAAATAGAAAGAAAGAAATCAATAAAGATTGGAAAATCAGAGAGAGAGAGAGAGAGAGAGAGAGAGAATTGAAGGCTTGTTACTTAATTAGTTTGATCAGCCATGGCAGTTCAGTTTAGTTTAGCTACCATCCATGGCAGCAATAATGACGGAGCAATGGAAAATGAATGGTACAAGGGAAAATAAAACGCCAAGAGGAAATACCTTATCCACAAATGTGAAGAGTCCGATTTACACACAAACCTTCTCCTCTCCTACTCCGATCAACACAGCAGCAGCAGCGACCACACGGCTCCGCTAGGTTACGACGACTCGGTGCTCAAAAACTTTCTCCTACTTCGTCCTCTCCCACTTCGTTTTTGTTTTGCTTTTCAAATCAAAACAAAACAGGGTGTATCCCGCGTAGTAGACCAGCAAATTCCTTAATTCGAGCCACTCGCGAGCTGTGCCTTTCGAGCTACGTAGCGGGATCGTTTATTTTATGAAAAATGATTGGGAGCTCTAAATTAGGAGCACTAAAGGAGCTCTAGAGAGTGGGTCCCACTGACTGATGTGATGTTTTGGCCTTAAGTTCTTTTTTTTTCTTTTTTTTTTTGAATTTCCACCTCGTTAGTGGTCCATTAGTACTCCCAAATTAGTGGGATGTATCATTGTTGTTATTTTATTATAAATTTTAACCTAAAAAACAAGTTATAAACCCACTCCCCAAACAGGGCCAGTTGTTTGTTGTATATATAATCGTTAACGGGCAAAAATAGCAGAGTCGGACTACTCAGCAAGTTGAAAAGTACTGATTGAAAAGTACTGATTCATCACCCTTTCTTCCAATAGTTATTAGTCAAAATCCCATCTTTTCCTGCATCAAGAAAACAATATTAAAAGATAAAAAGAGAAGAAGAAGACGAAGGAGAGGACTTCCCAAAGCAGAGCTCTTGAAGATCGTTCATTCGTTCACCATCATCAAAAAAACCTCTTTCTACTTCTGATTGCTCTTTTCACTCTGGAGGAAGAAGTATATCCCCATCTCTGTTGAGATTTGCGATCTGAAAGAGAGACAGACACAAAAGAAGAAGAAGAAGATAGATAGAAAGTGAGGCTGTGAGAGGTTGGTTCATATGGGGATTTGTTGGGCTTCTCCTTCGGATAACCGAAGCCCTACCACCACTGGTCAGCTCAGTACTTCAGGTACTCCGTCAATCAAAAGCCCTGTCATCTTTTTTATTTTTTTTAGTTTCTGTTTATTTTTCATTTGCTCTGCTTTTTCACAACAGTTCTTCTTTATTTAGTGCACTATTCCATTAATTTGTTTAATTTCTTTTGTGGGTTTTGTTTGTTTTCCAAGAGTTTATTCATTTGCTGCTAAATTTCATTTGATTTCATTCTCCCCCCCTTCTTTTGGGTATAATTGGTGTTAAAAAAAAAAGAAAAGAAGAAAAGAACTGTCGTTGACTTCAATTCTCGTAATCAAACCATGTAATTTTACTACATTTCATGATTTCTGCCAATTATTTGGCTGGGTTATAGTATTACATTTTTGATTGACTTGGTTGTTTTTGTGGGACTTTATTGCAATTTGACAGTAGGGATATCTCATACAACGACCACCACTACATCTTCAGATGGAAGCACCATCTCCGGGAACAGCCGGTTCTCGGTAGCGAGTGGCTCCGATGACGCATACCCGAATGGGCAGATCTTACCCACCCCCAATTTAAGGATCTTCAGTTTTTTAGAACTGAAGAATGCTACCAAAAGTTTCAGAACTGATACGGTGTTGGGAGAAGGAGGTTTTGGGAAAGTTTATAAGGGTTGGCTTGATGAGAGAGTGCCATCGAAGAGCAGTAGTGGAACGGTCGTGGCTGTCAAGAAGTTGAACTCTGAGAGCTTGCAAGGATTTCAGGAATGGCAGGTAACTCAACCTACACAAAATTAATACTTATGTGAGATTTCTCAGTATTTTCTAGCCTTTCAATAAATTAAATTCTTTGACTTTATCTGTTAGAGCTTGACACTTATGTGAGATTTCTCAGTTTTGTCTAAGCCTACAACTTTACTATTGGGTTGATTTAGGGTGAGTGCGATCAATGACGTAATAAGCAAGTTGTACTTGACACACCATCCAGCACACATTGACTGCTACTTTTGATTTCGATTGTGAAGACAAAGGTTTTCCCAAACCCTGCTTTTTGTTTCATTTAGAAACATTTAGCAATAGGAAAAGAAGAAAAGGACACAAAAAAATTATGAATTGTGAACATATAAGTCAAATCGCTTTTAGGTAGATGGTTGAGAGTTGTTCTGATGCAGTTTTCAGTGGGCTGCCCTGCCCAGTTCTGATCTGGTTTAACTGATCTAATAGTTAGTTATTTCTTGAGATTATGTACAAGATTTGTTCTGCATTCTTGGAAACATTAATTGTGTGATATTTTTTATCTTACTTTTGCTTTGAATGGCAGTTGATATTTGTAAATTCTTAAATTAATCTTTTCTTTTTATTTTTTGTTTGGGATAACTAGTTGTTTTACCAATTACTTTCATTGATTCAAATCCTTATGAACTCAGTCTGCTTATTTGTTTGTTCAATATTCATGCAGTCTGAGGTCAATTTCTTAGGAAGGCTTTCTCATCCTAACCTTGTTAAGCTATTGGGTTATTGTTGGGAAGATAAAGAGCTACTTCTTGTCTATGAGTTCATGCAAAAGGGCAGCTTGGAGAACCACCTTTTTGGAAGTAAGAGCTTATTCAAGTAATTATGTTAACATTACTGCAAGATGTGCAATCATTAGCAATGTGCAAACTGATTTTCTCTTTTACTCATTTGGCTTACCAGACAATTCGCGGCTTGATTTGTGCAGGGGGCTCTGCTGTTCAGCCACTTCCATGGGACATACGGCTTAAGATACTGATAGGAGCAGCTCGAGGCCTGGCATTTTTGCACACATCAGAAAAGCATGTAATTTATCGAGATTTCAAGGCTTCAAATATATTGCTCGATGGGGTAATTTTCTTGCAATCAATTATTAGATGAAAAAAAGAGCAAAAAATGTTTTCTTATAGTAGAAGGTTTTAGGAAGGTAAAGCATAATATCTTGAACTTGGCCTGACATACATATTTCTTTTTGGCAGTCCTACAATGCCAAGATATCCGACTTTGGTTTGGCAAAATTGGGTCCCTCGGAGAGTCAATCACATGTGACAACACGGGTTATGGGAACATATGGCTATGCTGCTCCAGAATATGTTGCCACAGGTAGTCCTCTGAGCCTTTTCAAACATCAGACTCTTAAGGCCGAATGATTACCATAATCAAGCATAGGCACATGAACTAAACCCATCAAAATGGTGTGTCATTATACTAATATTATGCTTGTTAAACAGGGCATTTGTATGTGAAGAGCGACGTGTATGGTTTTGGTGTTGTATTGGTTGAGATGTTAACAGCCTTACGTGCAATTGATGCAAACCGTCCAAGTGGGCAACATAATCTTGGTGACTGGGTCAAACCATATTTAGCTGACAGAAGAAAGTTGAAAAACATAATGGACAGCCGGTTGGAAGGGAAATATCCTTCCAAAGCTGCACTGCAAATAGCTCAGCTCGCTCTAAAATGCCTTGGACCCGAACCCAAAACAAGGCCATCAATGAAAGAAGTTGTGGAGACTCTGGAACGTATAGATTCAAACAATGAAAAAACCAAGGAGCCTAGAATTAAGTCTGCACATCATACTGCTTATCAACGTGGCAAACAGCCTTTGCACCATCGATCTCAACATCACCTTAGGCAAGATGGAAATCAGTCCTATCAACTTCCACAACGAGCAGGGTAACTTCGCAGCTTTTAAATGCGTATGCGATTGTTTCTTATATCAAATGAGTCCCTATTCTTCTGTTAAGAGGCATCTTAAAAATTGTAACGAGTTTTGTTGTTCTATTGGTGAATTGTATGTAATGGATGAATCTGTGAGGGGTCGAAATGTAATTATTTCTATTGGTTTGTTGACTTGTGCTTGATAATTACTATGGTAACATAAAATCATTACTTATACACCAGGATGATATTATTTGGTGTGATATCATTTTTTATACACAACTTTTGCCGCTTTGAAGTGTGTACTTCTCCATTCTATTTTACTGCTTAAACATAGCTATAATAGGGCTTTTGTAATGCCCTTGATATGCGTTTGCAGCTTTTCAAGTGAATTAAGATTTCAGAGGGTCTAACTTACTGTATACCTTTCCATCCTCCCCTCTTACTTTATGCATTTTCCTCTTATCTTTCTCTCCCTTTTTTTTCTGTTCAAATGTTCGGGGGTTCAATATCATCAATTAGCATTACATATTTAAAGATTCTCATAGTTTGGTTTCACTTTCCAATATCATTAGCTGGAATAAATTCTAGATGATAACCGTCGTCATGCACATAAATAGGTATATCATTATATTTATCTGCGACAAGTGGTGGAAGAAAGGCCATAGGAATCTAATAATTGCAAGATATGTTTTCACTCTGTTATGCCATATCTGTGGAATGATTAGGCGTTTGTATGTTGTGCCCATGGCTTTGGAATATTCCCTCTACTATCTTCTTTTTAATGCATCTTCTATAATCCCAATATATACTCAAATAATGATGGAATCAACATTGCCACTGGCATGATGCCCGGCATCTCACGAAAGTCTTTTATATCCACAGATTTATCTGAGATGTTAAAGTTTCATTGAATGAGTGAAATATGCCGCTTCTATACACCTCGATGCATTTCATGAAATTCAAACATCATCTTGAATGTTTCATGAAATGCTTTGGTCATTTGTTTCGCAGCCAATAGTGCATAAGTGATATGAGAAAGCATTAGAAAAACACAATTTGGGTCACCATTATTTCAGTTTGTACTCTGCTTCATTGGTAACTAGATCCTTCAAAGAAAACTTGCATTCGTCTAGGTTGAATTTCTCAGCTGTGATGAGCTTTTATTGTTGTCAAGCATTATATGTTGTTTGTTGTTGAATCAGCTAATAAGTTGGTTGAATCTTCCCATCTAACCACAGAGTGCACTACAGTTTATCGAGTTTGGTACACATATTGAGCTAATAACCTTCAACTAGAATTTTTCATGACTAACAATTTTACTTTTTCCCGAGTATTATCGTTTTGTTTGTAATTTTAGTTGGAAGAGAGCATAGTGAACTGCTACGGAGTGAGTGTTTACTTCATTATAAATCTAAAGCTCTTGGAGTGAATCTGCCCGGGAGGAGGCAGCAGGGAGGGCTATGGTCTCCACTGCTAATAATTCAAAAGCTGTATTATTGTGTATCTGTTTTGCCTATTTTCCTACTGATGAGATTATGAATGGTTATTGAGCTTCTCATCGCTTTCAAGATTCCATTTAGACCCATCAATGTGTGTGCTCCAATCTATCTATAGTGATCTTTCTTGCTTGGCAAAAGTCTCTTGTTGACAATGTTAGAGACTTTAAGACATTGGAATTCAATTATGGTTTCATCGCAGTAGCGAAGAAAATTGCAGACAAGGTCAGGGTTGTTTGTTGTCTAACTCGTCACCAATAAGATCCAAAAAATTAAAAAATAAAACATTTAGTTCGGATTTAGTACAAAATTAATAAATGGAAAAATACAGAAGCAAAGCAAGCCATAAATAAAGCCATTTGAATCCGCAAGAGGAATAAAATGAAAATTTAATCAATAGTATTTACTGTAAGGAAAAATACTCCAAAGCAAACATATTACTAGTACTGCACATCAGGGAGTCCCACACGCAAATGAATGTTTGTTTTTACAAACATTTGAGAGTGAATATTACAAGTCTAGGAGAATGCGTTCAATATGACAAGAGTTCAACATGACAAGTGTTTAGGAATAGAACTTAGAGGTAGTAACATTTTTGTAGTGGCTGAGCCATCTATTTTTTTCAATTGTTTTTAAGTCATCTCGTGTAAACGAATTTAGAAAGTAATTTTTTATTGAAAACTTCCACAAAAAAAAAATGAATAGCCAAAATAAGTACAAAAAAGGTTCATTATTATTATTATTATTTTCCTTTTGTAATTTTTTTTTGAAATTAAAAAAAAATCCAGTTGGTTTCGTCCGGTAAAATTTAGAAACATAAAAAAATTTTATTTTTTATTTTTAAAAAATATTTACTAAAATCAAAAATAAACTGATAAAAAGACTAACAAAAAATTAAACTCCAGACACTCACTTAAAAAGTGGGGAGGGAGAAGTGATAGCATGAAAAGCTTTTAATTGTAACACAAAAATATCAAGTTACATCCACTAAAAATAAAAATTTTATTATGATATTTACTATTAATGATAAAATTACAACAAAAAAATAATTGTTTTTAAAAAAAAATGATTTTAAAAATTTTCTAAATGTTTTTTTATACATAAGTGTTACTAAAAATAAAAATAAACTGAAATAAGATCAACAAAGGCCTCCATTTTTGTAATGAAGTTATTTATTATAATTGCAAAAATAATAAATATATATATATATAGTTTTTAGTTTGTATGTTTGCCAGTTAAAAGAGCTTATTCACCTTGATCGTGATCTTGAGTCAGAGATATGAGAAAGTGCCTGCCTGCACTTGATCTAACTGTCGGAGGAGCAAAAGCGGTAAACGATCCAAACACAGAGCAATAATACATAACAAAGCAATCATTCATTCATTCATTCAGAGCGAGAGAGAGAGAGAGAGAGCGAGAGAGAGTAGATTATTTAATATTTGCGTCTCTTTCTCTCATCCGCGATGAAAATTCTTTGGACACATCTGCCAATAATTCTCTTCGTCATCTTCCTGGTATGCAGCATTCTTTTCAATTTCTTTCTCTTCTTTTGTGCTTACTCACTGTATTCGATCCTCTTCTTCTTGTTACTCATTACCACTTCCCTATTCCTTTTGCTTCTGTTGCGTTTGTCACTCATTCATCTCTTATGACTGTTATCTTTCATTACCACTTTTAGGGTTTTTGCCATACCAAGTTCAATCAATGCTGATGCTTCCCTTCATTATGTGATTGCTGCCACAAATTGTCTTATAAGATGTTTTAGGGTTAATTCAAGCCAATTGAAGAATGTGATCTCTATCATATGCTTAGAATATATGATGATTTATTTGTATATATACTGTGTGTGGAGTCACTTTTATTGTGTTTGGTTAGGCTAGGTTATGACATGGATTAGACAGGATTGATTACTTACTTTTGACCAAATGATCCATATCTATGGTGGGGATATGCAATACCATAGGCTAGTATTACATATCCTCTACTTTTGGAGGATATAATATATGGTCAGATTTCCTATCCGGTAATGCATCTAAAAATCTCAATAATAATAATAATAACTTGCGAACATGGATTACGTTTTCTACGTTGTGCTCTTTTTGGTTGTCTTTGGGAATATTTTCCCAATCAGTCCTATTAGGATATTGGGGTCATGCTCTTACTTCAATTAACTAGTGCAAAAAATAAAACCTATGTTACATGTACTCTTATAAATATATGATATACCCTTGTTGGATGCATAGTTGCATAAAACCAAATCAAACCAAGCCAAGCCTTAAGTCCCATCAAATGGGGACGGTTGCATGAATCCTTCTTCTCCACTCGACTCTATCCAAGGCCATTTCGTTAGTCAAATTTAGAAGATTCATATCTCTATTTACCAACATTAGTCCACGTCAATCTAGGTTTACCCCTTCCACTAACACTACCATCAAATGGGATCGGATGCATAGTTGCATGTTCACTTATTAAACATATTTAGCAAATTTGAGTTTACCATAAACCCATGCATAAGATCTCCATATTATTTATAAAATGCTCTATGATATCTTGCGAACATCATTTTATCTTAGAAAATAAAATATGTATATTAAGAAATATGAATATGTTGCCATGTCCCCATATCTTTCAACATGGGAAATAAATAAATCGTATACTTGGATATATACTCACACCTGACAATTATATTGAGTCCGTGTAACATGGATAAAAACATGCACTAGAGAAGTGCACAAAACAAAGTAAAAAGAAGCAAGAGAAAAAATAAAAATAAAATATAAACCATTAGTCTTAGAGTTCCACCGAGGCTTTTTGGGGTCATCTTGTGCAAATACCTGCAGACAAATTTTACATTTTGCTCTTTTAAAATCTTCTTATAAGATATCCCTGAACTTTTTTTTTTATGGTTGCATATACATATACTTATTTTAAATATGTTAGTGTTTGCTTCACAAGCTAGAGTCAATTATGTCTTATTTCTAATAACTGTCGTTTGGTTTATATTTAGGCCTTTTCTTCAAGTACTTCACTTTTTAGTTTACTATTGGCAACTTGTTCCTTGTTCCACAATAGCATTGGAATTGAGCTATTCTTCTAGCATATTCTTATACATGAATATTTGTACTCTAGAAATATTTTGTAAGTTTGGGTTTCCAAGAGTAGTGTCTTATGTATCCTGTGCACCCATGCAGGTCATGATTCATGTTGCTCTTGCTGGAGCAGATTTATTAGATACACAAACAGTGTAAGATATCACAAGCATCTTTGTTGTTGATAGATGGATCTACTGGGTTTTGTGACTGTTTCACGAAATTGAAGATGTTCTTTTTAATAATTGTGTATCCTTACGCTTTATTTTTTTCCCTTCCAGGCAAAGAGATCTCAAAACATATTGGCCATTGTATGATTGTCCTCAATGTATTGGCATAAAGGTTTCATTCTCAACTTTCTTTATAGCATTTTCCATAGCTAATGTTATTAGCTAATACTTGAGTAATTATGATATATTGATAGTGTTATCATAACTGAAATCTTTTATTATATCATGTGCATCTTCCAACATTAAAGCAAGACTCTTGCAACCAATAGCAAAGTTGCATTTCTTTATTCTTGTGAGTGGTTGTTAGTGAGGTAGATTGTGGACAATAATGGTAGGCACTAAGATGCCACAAGACCATTGGAGGTGGAGGAGGTGAGAATTGAGGTGGTCTTAGATAGAGAGAATGAGTGACAATGGAGAGTCTTTGAGCTTACTTGGAGGTGGTGAATTTGGTTCTCATGTATATATATCCTTTTGTGAAGGTGGAGATTATCATTTTACAGGAGGGTACATGAGGGCCAACTCACTCTTGCACGGTGTCCCATGGACATGTTGCTCATCCCCTTTGTCCAACTTCAGTAATGCTCAGTCCCTGGGCATCATATCAAGGAAATACAATGAGTAGGTATGATACAACTTATGAAGTATTATGTGCAAAGTTTTAAGTAACGGTAGTGGTTGCCATAACAGTAGTGATGGCAGCGTGATTTTGAAGTGTAATGATGGTTGTGTAAGTTAGTGGACATTGGAGTCATATTTCAAAATCATTTATATTGGGGTTACGGTGATTTGTTGTATTTTTGTATAATTAATAGATATGATGTACTATAGTATAGGTAGTTAATTTTATACTATTTATAAGTCGTGGTCAAGAAGAATTTACATACTTCCTTTTAATAATTATTTCTGATTATAAATGTAGCTAAAAAGACTAAAAATGCTTAAAACTTGTAAATATAGTCAATAAAGCATGTTTAGAGTAAAAAATAATTAAAACTGCTAAGTTAGGTTAGTTTTAGCATATATTTTTTCTTGTGCATTGTTTTTTAATTGACAAGTCGAATTTCACATGCACATTTTTGTCCTTGTTCATGTGTTCCAACTGATGGCTGGGCAGGGACAAGGTCACATGAAATCTGCTTCAGGTAGCAACCCACCAGATGAAAAGGTACTAAGCATATTCTGTTCAATTTGTGTTTGTCATTAGTGTAATGACTAATGGTGCTAATTTCACTTTATTTTTGCAGGATATTGATATTATTGTGACATACAGCGACACTTCTGGTTCTGTTCGAATCAGGACTGTGAAGTCTAGGGACCTATCAGCTTCCTGGGTCTGGAGAAGCCCCACTGATGAAAACATTGACCAGCCAAAAAGTTCCCAGGTAGTACCATCCACTTCAAGATTGAAATATTGTTCAGAAAAAACTGATATTAGTGGCTGAACATTTAGTTGCATCAAGTCAAACATTCTACGAGCTGTGAAAACCATATGTTATGATGACTGAAAGGTTCATATTGCTCTATGCCAATGTTCAACTAGTTGAACTCATAATTCCCAGGTTACTAACTGGAATTTATCTGCATTTATTTTGCACTATCAGACATTAGAAGAGTCATTTCAAGCTGATATGAGATTTGAAGATGATGCTGACCATTCTACTGATGAGCATCAGTCTGGAGGTGAAATGCCACAGCCACAAACATCTACTATAAACCCAGTGAAGCTCAAGCGTCTGGTAAAATTTCAAATGCTTCCAAGAACATTATGTACGGTTGAATGTGTTTATTGGTTGATTTGTATCATGACTGTTTCTTGCACTTCAGATGTTACGGCAGCGGAGGAGGGATCTCCGTACTGCAGAGCTAATTCGACAGGACAAAGAGATTGACAACCAGATGCAAGCAGCTGCTATTGAACGAGCTAAAGAGCTTGATACCACTGTCAAGGGGAAATACAGTATATGGAGAAAAGAATATGAAAACCCAAACTCTGATTCAACCTTGAAACTTATGCGTGATCAGATCATCATGGCAAAGCTTTACGCAAGCATTGCAAAAGCTAAGAATGAATCTGGTTTATGCGATTCCCTCATTAAACACTCCAGAACAAATCATTATGCCATTGGAGATGCAAGTTCTGATGCTGAGCTTCAGCCAAGGTATTGCCACTTTATTTTTTGATAAATATTGCTGCTATTCTTTGGGTTACCAAGCATACATGTCCTCTCTTGGTCCTAATGTGGACCTTTTCTTTCTCCTCTCATCCAGTGCACTTGATCAAGCAAAAGCAATGGGGCACATTCTATCTATAGCCAAGGACCAATTTTATGACTGCCTTATAGTCGCGAGGAAGTTAAGGGCCATGCTTCAATCCACAGAATTGAATGTAAATTTGCTGAGGAAAAAGAGTGCATTCTTAATTCAGCTTGCTGCAAAAGTAGTCCCTAAGCCCTTACACTGCCTGCCTCTACAGCTGACAACAGACTATTACCTTCAGAGTTATGAAAACAAGGGATTTCCCAACAAAGACAAACTTGAAGATACTTCTCTCTATCATTATGCTATCTTTTCTGATAATGTACTTGCAGCATCTGTTGTTGTCAATTCTACGGTGCTACATGCAAAGGAGCCTGAAAAGCATGTTTTCCATATTGTAACGGATAAATTGAATTTTGCAGCTATGAAAATGTGGTTTCTTGTCTACCCTCCTGCCGGTGCAGCAATCCAAGTTGAGAATGTTGATGATTTCACATGGCTCAATTCTTCTTACTGCCCTGTACTGCGTCAACTTGAATCTGCACGAATGAAAGAATATTATTTTAAGGCAAATCAAGCATCTTCCCTCTCTGTTGGCTCTGACAATCTCAAATATAGGAATCCAAAATATTTGTCCATGCTGAATCACCTTAGATTCTACCTTCCTGAAGTTTACCCAAAGCTGGATAAAATCCTGTTTTTGGATGATGATATTGTAGTTCAGAAGGATCTGACACCTCTCTGGTCTGTTAATCTTGAAGGGATGGTAAACGGTGCAGTAGAGACCTGCAAGGAAAGCTTTCATAGATTTGACAAGTATCTGAACTTCTCTAATCCGAAGATCTCTGATAATTTTGATGCAAATGCTTGCGGTTGGGCATTTGGCATGAATATTTTTGATTTGAAGGAGTGGAGGAAGCAAGACATTACGGGAATATATCATCATTGGCAAAACATGGTAAGGAAACATATTAGTGTCCAATCTCCCTTTCTCCGTGCATTCCCTGAACAGAGTGTTGTTGTGTGATATTTTTGATTGGGAGCGATACATACACGTGCACAGTTTTTTTATTTGTTTCCTTCATGCTTTGTTCTTTCCTAATCACATGCATGTGTTGAGAGTTTGTTGTTTTTAGTAGCCTATGTAAAGCAGTGCTGCTTCTCATCAAATCCCACAAATCCTTTTCCTCCCACCTAGAAGGAAAAATAGATTCTGATGTAACCCCCCTTTTCTAGAATGGAACAAAATATATTACCACTTTCTCATCACAACTGTAAAGATTCTGTTCCCCCTACTAGATTTCTAGTGGTGCATACAACTTCTAAAGGAGGATATGTTCTTGTTTAAGTTCTGATCAAGAAAAGTATTTCAATTGCATTGTTGCGTCCACTTGCCCCCAAGAAACGCTATCTGTTTTCTTCTCTTCTATGTTAGACTTCAGTGATAATTTTCTGATTTGTGGGGATATTGGTTTTGCAGAATGAGGATAGAACCCTCTGGAAACTGGGCACATTGCCACCTGGGCTGATAACTTTCTATAAGCTGATGTATCCACTGGAGCGGAGCTGGCATGTGTTGGGACTAGGTTATGATCCTGCCCTTAATAAAACAGAAATAGAGAATGCTGCTGTCATCCATTACAACGGAAACAATAAACCATGGTTGGATCTGGCCATCTCCAAATACAAGTCATACTGGTCTAGATATGTAATGTTTGATAACTCTTATCTTCGAGCTTGCAACATTAATGAATAGAATAATGCCTTCATGGTCAGCTCTGTAAAGTTTACTTCTCTCTCTCATGTAGTCTTTTTTTCCATCACTTCACCGAAAATTTAAATAAAAAGAAATTTTAAAGCTGTTGTTCTCAGAGAAGTTGTCATGTTCTCTTAACATGATAATTGTTAACATTCATGCAGTTTTGACTGCCAGAGTGCAGGATAGTGCAAGTTCTGTGTTTCATTACTACTTCTTTAGAGTGTTCCCATAAGTTTAGCAATTTTCTTCGGGGTGTTTATTTTATGGGGTTGGTTGTCCTGTTGACACGAAGATGCACTGTCAAATATTTATTAATGGTTTTCGGGCTATTGCTTCTGTTCAGAACTCTTTTTTAGGTATGTATGCTAAAATTGAAATGGAGATTGCACAAAAACTGCATGATGAAATGTCTGGAAGAGATTTGATTGCTTGGAGGGAGCGTGATGATTGGGGGCTATGTACTGCGAAGTGAGGAAGCTGAGGTTGCTTTCCAGTTCTTTTGGAGAGATGGTATGGTATCCAAGAATGAAATTGAAATGGATGGGCAAATAATGGTAAATGTTATTGAGGCCTGCATTCATCTTGGGAAAATAATTAGCATTGAAAGATTGGTCCATGGGTTTGTGATTGGTAGGGGTTTTGTTTTATGATTCAAATCTTTTGGATATATTGACATGTATTGGAAGTGCCATGATATGGAATCTGCCTCGAAAGCATTTAGGAGATGAATCCAACACACTTTATTTTTCATAAGGAGATAAATTTTGATGTGTATTTATTTATAAAGGGGTGGAGTAAAAAAAATAATTCTATATTTTCTTTATCTTTTATTTATTTATTTTATATATCTATATTCCAAAACTTTTTTATTTTTTTTGAGTTGGGGGGGGGGGAGGGAGGATATTCCAAAACAAGTTCTTTATACTTTCGAGCAGTGGGATGCAAGTTGATAAAATTGATGAATTATTTCAATGGGTTTTATTTTTTTTTACATTTACTAGAGAGTACAAAAATCATTCAGATTTGTTACAATTATTATTAGTCTAAGATCCCTCTCTTATTTTTTGTGATGGAAGAGATCCACAATATTATTTTGTGATGTCTAAGGTCCCTTAACCCTACACCCATATATCACAAAGAAAATTCACTCCCTTTTCCTCTTTCGTACGCAACAATTTCTTTTTCCCTCTCCGATTCACTGACCTAACCTCTGTGATTTACTGTTCACCGTTATATCAAATGCATAGAGACTGGAATTATAAGTATATTCAGTGTCTTCTTCACAAAGTTGCTTTGAAATGCAAGATTTGTAACACTACAAATATGAGATTTCTCTCAGATTAACGAGAAAGAGACTTGAAAACACTCGATGATGATGATGATTTGCATGTTCAAGTCCATATTTGATTAGCAATGATCAAAACCAGAGTTTGGAACAAAGAGAGAGAGAGATGCTTTCATGGCCGATCAGAGAGGTCTGATGATATGCTGCAGAGATTCAGAACGCTCCAACACCCAAACGATGCCATTTTGTGGAGCAGAGATCTTCGGTATCACAGCAGTCCAAAGCAAGAGTTGAAGATCAGGTCTCTCTCTCTCTATCTCCCTCTCTTTCGTGTTTCTTCTTTCCCTCTGTGATTTCAATTCCTTCAAAAGCTTAGCGAATAACTATCTAGGGCTCAAGGATCACAAGTTGTTTCCACAAGTTGAAGAGATGTTTCAGGACAGAGCGACAAATTCCTTTACAACTGTTTCACTTTTTTATTTCAAATTTCAAATCTTTATAGCTTCTTCACTCAAACCCAGAGAAAATTCAAATTTCTCTGGGTTCATTTTGACCAATTTTCTCTGGGTTTTCAAATTTCTCTGGATTCATTTTGACCAATTGAAGGCCGGTGAAGTCAGAGAAATTTGAAAATTTCTCTGGAGTGTTGAGTCTAGGAGAAGCAAGGAGGGCAGAGAAATTTAAAATTTCTCTGGAGATGTAATTTTGTGGAAAGGCAGAGAAATTTCTCTGGGAGAGTGGGAAGTATATAGAAAGCAGAGAAATTTGGAGAAGGGGAGGACAGAGAAATTTACAGTGGGAAATTTAGGGAAGGTCAGAGAATTTTTCAAAATTTCTCTATAAAGTCCAAAGAAATTCTTCCCAGAATTTCTCTGGACCAATTTTCTCTGTAACGTGAATTTTCTCTGGATCAACTTGAGGGACCTTAGACATTATTAAAATATTGAATGTCCTTTGTGTTATAAAATCTTAATACTAGAGACCTTAAAAAAAGAAACATTTTTCTTATTCTTATAAGCTAATAATGTGGCAACTATTACATTAATAAATTAGGTTTGGTTTCACATTTAAAAATTAAACCTATTTATAAATTGGGTTTCATTTCATATTTCAAAATTTAACTCAATATGATTTTCATATTTATTTATTTTTTTAAATAATCGCTACTCCTTGAAAGAAATAGAAAAATGAGACGGTTCAACCCAAGGAGAAATAGGGGCACGAATAAATTGTAAAATATAAATGATGCATATCATTTAGGGTAATTCTATTTCCACGTACCAAAATATCTCACTCCACATCCTCTCTCAATACACACACCAATTAATTTTGAATTTTGTAATTTTACTCAATGCACAATCTTTTTTGCCAAAAATATCCCTCTCTTTAACATTGAAACCCTAAACCAACACTCATTGTCACCCGTCGCCTATTGCCGTCCATGACCATGCATCAACGATGGCGGCGGCTCTGAGTTACCCCTTTTCAACCCCCTTCTATCGTTGTCGCCGCCTCCGTCATTCCCTCCACCTCTCCACTAGTCATTCTCTAGATTAAAAAAATTCAAACTTTTAACATCAAAACTTCACAGAGACATATATACAAACACATAGTATACATATATATACGAACCTTATGGAAAGAAAGATTTAGGCCATACAAGTTGTGGACTCGCCTTTTTCTCGCTCCCCCACTTTTTGAAAAGGGTTTGAAAAGAAAGGCTTCACAGTTGGGACTCCCGCGGCTCTAAATCTAGTCTCACAAGTGCAATGTGAAACTGATAAACATCAAAGGGTCCAAATCAGGCAAATTGTTTTGGAAAATCGATTTTCAATCAAATAATACCAAAATTGGACTGCTTTGCCAAATTACAGAGTCACCACCTAAATATTTTATTTTTGAAAAATTTAGGAAACCTTGACTCGTGCCAAAGGCCACATGTCCGTCATCACCAAAATTGTCTCAGCTCGGGAACTTAGGTACAAGAGGGGAAGGTCCTGAAATGAGACCCCCACTCACCCGATCAAAGATCGGTCTCTACTAATCATAATATGATTTTTTATAAACATTATGTGCTCTTATTCCGGTTATTAATCTAACCTTACTATGTGACGCACACAAGCAAATATAGACTAGAATTGCAAGGCTTGGAACAATTCAACTCATGTTTGTTTTCGAAAATGGTTTGAATTTGCCACCCTCAAGTGGGCTTAAAGATGCGGTTTTGCCACTGAACTTAGTGAGCTTAAAACGTGATTTTGCCACAACAAAGTGGGCTTAAAACGAGCATTCGTTGAATTATTCCAATTCAAACAACAAGCATTCATCCACAGGCATTCATGCTGTTAAGCATTTAAGCAAATAGGCTCATGACAAGCATGCTAAATGTTAGACTTATTTATTAATAAATCATCAAAGTAAATTTTGGATTCTATTTTTCTCTTTCAAATAAATTAAAACATAATTAAATAAATCATCAAACTAAATAAGTCTAACAATCTCCCCCTTTTTTATGATGGCACATAATGATATTTTGATTTGATTTTGGAGTAACAAGGGCTCCCCCTCAAGTCATACTCCTTGAATTCATTTCTAAATACATAGGTTAGCACATATGTAATAAATAAGCTTTAATCAATAAGATGATATAAGATTAAGATATCAAACTATAAATACATAACATCAGATTAGTTTGAAAATAATACCATAATACATAACATCATATAATTTTCTCCCCCTTTGACATTATCAAAAGGAAATTATGGCTCAGAATCTAGAGGAGGATGAGGAAAATGATAGTGATAAATGACATCAAAAAATAGATAATCAAAACAGATATATACATATATATATAATTCACCCGCGTCTCTTTTTTGTTTGTCGAAAATCGCGTCGAACACATGCCTTCGCTTTTGCGTCAGCCGATCGACAAAAGCGACACGGGTCAATCAGTCAATCAACTGCCTCGGCTCTCTCTCCCTCTTGTCGTCTTCTCCTCCGTCTTCTTCTTAATCACTCTCTTTGCCTTCTTCTTCCTCATGCGCTTCGTGAGAGAGATAGAACAGAGAGACTGAGTAAAGCACTACTCTCCTTTTAATTACATCTCTCTCTTCTACTACATGGCCTCGTCCCATCCTCTTACTCTCTTTCCAACCTTTAATGACCCCTCAAGCGCTGCTGGGCCGAGTGCTCCGGCGCCTACTCTTCCCAACCTTCTTATGATGTCGATTGAGCAAATAATGGCAGTGCAATTAGATATTGAAGCCAATCATTTTACACTAACATCCTGTATGGAAACGGTTACGGCAGTCACAAAATTGGCTCACTGATTGCAGAACAGGACGAGTGAGCTCCATCAGGCCAACGCCCAACTCTCTCTGCTCCAGCGTATGTACAAGGATGCGCGAGCGGAAATAGGCGCATTGAAGGCCGAAAATAAAGAGCTTAAACGGAAGACCACCTCCATGGCTCGATTTGGAGCAACGTCGTTTTTAGCCTTTAATAGTCAACGGGGAGTCGCTGCTCTCGATGATAGCACGGGGGCAGGGACGTCAAGGGTCGTCCAAGGTGATAAAAAGAAGAAAACGATGGAAGAGGCGAGTAAGTAAGATCGGCGTATGGCCGAAAAAAAATGAACAGTTTTTTTTTTATGTTTATTTTGATCGGCGTGTGACCATAAAAAATGAAGGGTGCTTTTTTTTTATGTTTATTTTGATCGGCGTGTGACCATAAAAAATGAAGGGTGCTTTTTTTTTATGTTTATTTTGATCGGCGTGTGACCATAAAAAATGAAGGGTGCTTTTTTTTTATGTTTATTTTGATCGGCGCGTGG